TTCTCATGTCGTATTATGGAATAATATCTTAATTATTAAGTCTCTCTCCCCTTAGATCACTAGATTGTGTCCTCTGCCCCTTGCACTGTTCTGGAATAGAATGAGCGCTCAATGATATTTTGCATAATGAAAGAATGAGTATACACCAAGCAAACACTTGATACTAATTTTGTTTCATGTATACTCTCTTATAGGGCAGAAAATGCATGGGTCAGCCAACCTTAACATTCTAGGTGACTTACTTTTATTTTTTCTCTCTTGCACACAGCCTCCCTGTTGTGAAGAAGGCATACAAGGCATTGCATTTGGTGTAATAAATCACATAGCCCTGGCTGGTTTAGCTCCGTGGATAAAGCATTGCTCTGCGAACTGAAGGATTGACTCCGATCAGGGGCATATGCCTGGGTTGATGGCTCGGTCCCCAGCAGTTGGGGAGAGGAGAGAAGGAGGGGAAGGAGGGGGGAGGGAGACAGCCAATTGATGATTCTCTCTCATTCTTGATATTTCTGTCTCTCTCTCCCTCTCCCTTCCTCTCTGAACTCAATATATTAAAAAACACACACACACACATACACACACAGCCCTAACCAGTTTGGCTCAGTGGATAGAGTTGGCCTGCAGACTGAGAGGTCCAGGGTTTGATTCTGGTCAAGGGCATGTACCCTGGTTGAGGGCACATCCCCAGTGGGAGGTGTACGGGTGACAGCTGATCAATGTTTCTCTCTCATCGATATGTCTGGCTCTCTATCCCTCTCCCTTCCTCTCTGTAAAGAATCAATAATATATATATAAAAAAAAAACCTCACCTACACACATAAAAAAAAAATTACATAATTTTTGACAGGTTAGATCTCCTATAGTTTCTTCATTTCCTGAGAAACAATCATTAGCACTGTTGCTGAAGAAACTACCTTAAGTCCAGTCACACCAAATTTCTTGTTCTTTGTTTATTTTTTACTTGATATTTGCTTTACCAGGAACTCCCTTCTCCCCTTGGCTAAAGGCCTGCTAGTCTTGCAAGTCTCAAGCCCAGAGCCAACTCATTTTGGGAACTTTTCTTGAACTGCACAGGTTCAAGAACTCTTTCCATAAGTTCCTGTAGTACTCTGTGCACTCCTATTATTTAGCAGCTATTGTTGCATTACAACAGGTAAGCTTTCAGTATTTTATTTATCTCTCCTTTCCCAAAGCCTGGGGAGAGTGCCTGACACAGGAAAATGTGCCAAGACTTAAGTCCTGAATTTAGTTACTAGTTGGGAAACCTTGGATGACTTTAGCCATAAGTGTCAGGTAACTTACTTCGTTATATTCATTAATCTTCACAAACATTCTCTTCCCCCTTCCCCCCAATTTTTAAAAACTAGAAATGGTGGAGTTGGGATAGAATCTCAGTATAATTGTGAAGCTTGTGTTTTTTTTAAAAAATCCTCACCTTAGGATATGTTTTTATTGATCTTTTTATAGAGAGATGAATGAATTGAAAAAAAGAGGGAAAACATGGATGAGGGAGAGAAACACCAATCAGTTGCCTCTGGCATGGGCCCTGACCGGGGATGGAACCCACAACCTAGCACTGTGCCCTGACTGGAATCAAATCCGCAACCAACTGAGACACCCAGTTAAGGCTGTGCTTTTTATACCACATCATTAAGGCAAATCACTGAGGTCTTTAAGACTGGTTTTCTGAATGGGATTCATAATACCACAAGAAGCAGAAGTTCTAAATTTTACTAACAACAATAACAGAGATGTTAAGAAAATATGTACTTAAATAACTGAAAATATGAACTCTCTCTTTTACATGTCAGTTTAATAGTCCTCTAATTTTTTTTTAATCCTCACATGAGGCTATTTTTCCATTGATTTTTGGAGTGGAAGAGAGCAGGAAAGACAGAGAGAAATATAGATGTGAGAGAAATACATTGACTGGTTGCCTCTTGCATGAGCCCCAAACAGGACTTGGCTGGGGAGGAGCCTGTAACCGAGGTACATGCCCTTGACTGGAATCAACCTGGGACCCTTAAGTCCACAGGCCAGTGCTCTATCCACTGAGCCAAACTGGCTAGGGCTGTAGTCCTCTAATGTTCATGACTGCCGGAATCTAGGCTGCTCTTTATCAAAGTTTCATGTTACAGTAAATACTAGTTAGCTAAGGACTACTATTTCTGTTCTAAACGCAGAAGTTTCTACAAATGAATAAGGAAATAATGTATTTCCAAAATAAAGTACATGGGGAGGGAGGTTCCTCACCTTGATGCAAAAGACAAAATATACTACCTGTTAGGTCTAGGCTGGGGGGAAGCCCAGAGCCTGATACAAGCATCTGCAAGGTGGATGGTGACAAAGATAGCTGGCTAGCTGGCGCCTTCCTAGGGCCTTCCTAGACCCCTGGCCCAAGGCAGGAATTCCACACCTCTCATGCCCTCCACCCTCCTCTCCCTGAACAGCTGTATAAAAGAAGTACTACCTATACCGCCTTTTGGTGCGAACTTCCCTGGCCCAGGGGAGCGCAGATTAAAACCTCCTCCCTTTTTTAAAAAAAAAATATATTTTATTGATTTTGTACAGAGAGGAAGGGAGAGAGATAGAGAGTTAGAAACATCGATGAGAGAGAGTCATCGATCAGCTGCCTCTTGCATACCCCCTACTGGGGATATGCCCGCAACCAAGGTACATGCCCTTGACCAGAATCAAACCCGGGACCTTTCTGTCCCCAAGCTGACGCTCTATCCATTGAGCCAAACCGATTTTGGCAAGACCTCCTCCCCTTTAATCGCCTGGGTTCCGTGTCTTGCTTCTGCGTCGCTAACCTCTCAGCTAGGACCTTACAGTACCCTGTTAAGAATCTTTCTCTATTTTTTTTTTAAATCCTCACCCATGGACATTTTTTCCATTGATTTCTAGAGAAAATGGAAAGGAGGGAGGAGGGGGAAAGAGAAAGAGAGAGAGAGAGAGAGAGAGAGAGAGAGAGAGAGAGAGAGAGAGAGAGAGAGAGAAACAATGACGAGAGAGACACATCGATTGGTTGTGCCCTTTACGGGGAATCGAACTCGAAACCCTTCAGTCCCAGGGCTGAAGCTCTAATCACTGAGCAGCTGTTTAGGGCTAAGAGTCTCTTCTTAATGATTCATTGTGATTGCAGGGAGGAGAAGGAGGCAAAGGAAAAAAGTAAATTTCATAAAAGATTTCAAGGAGAACTGGAAAACACAGGATGGAAATTTCCCCTTCCTACTACTGAAAAAGGATACTAGAAAAAAACACACAAAAAAACAAAAAACAACAACACTTGGATCACAGTAAAAATATACAAGTGAAGCTAGGTCATCTGACAAACCCTCCCAATCCATTCTCCACAATTTCCCATTAAATAGCATACTGAAACGTAAACCTTTGCTGACTCTGCTAAGCATCTTAAAAATGATTAAGTTTCTGCAGTAGGATTCACTAAAAAGTGGTAAATACCAATATTATGTAAAAGGCCAGTAATATAAAGGAACAAATCCCCAGACTGGAGGTGATGAGTAAGAGAGGGGGCAAAGTTGTCTGCAGTAAATCTTGCCTCATATTCTAAGCCCTTGCTAAGCTATGAACAAGAAGGGAAAGGCTATGAAGAGAGTTGGAGGTCACAGGCCTCAGGCATGAGTTCCTGTAGCTCTAGGCTGGCTTCCTAGGACCACGTCCCTCCTACCCTTCCCCCCCAAACCCCAGTCCCACTACATGGGCAATGCTGAGGGTGCACTGGGCCCCTAAAAACTGACTTAGGAGCAGGAACTTGGAACTTACACTTCGAGTGTTCCTTAGCTCCCGTTTTCCCTCACCTGTTTCAGAGATGTTTAGTCCTTTGCACGTGCTTGGGACAAACAGTAGCATAAATGTGTTCTTATTTACCGCCAATAGGAACACTGTAACTCTGCTGAATAGTTTTTAACAAAGTCTTGGCAAGCAAGGGGACGGCCCAGGGCTATGGAAAAGCAAATGGCCACAGCTGGGGAAAACAGCAAATGGCTGCTTTGGGGGGAAACCTAGTAAGGTGTACACTTCAGAAGCAGATTCAAAGTTCACCCACTGACCCTCGCCCCTCAGTGCCTCCTCCTCCCACCCCCTGGAGCTCGGATTGTAGACAGGGAAGCAGGGTGGGGGAAGGAAACAATCTGGACGCTCCAGGCAGGTGAAAATGCTTTTTAAAAAAAGGTGACCAGAGGGGAGTTTCCTGGGAGCGAGGTGGCAGGTACAGAGGTGAAGCGGAACGAATGTGAGAGGTGAGTGCAAGAGAGTGTGACAGCAGCAATGGGGCACGGCTGGAGGAGGAGAGCGGGCCAGAGCCGCACCAGGGGAGGCTCAAACGTGCAAGAGTGGGAGGGGCAGGAGCGATCGTCTGGGGCTGGATCCTACCAGGACGGACCCGTAGTGCGGGGGTAGGGGGACAGGGTCGGACAGGTCTTGTGGGAACAGCAGGGTCGGCCAGGACGGGGCTGACTCAGGGAGCGGACGGAAATGACCCAACTCCTAGCTTCACGACCCGCGGTCCGCCCACCCTCACTCGCCTGCAGGATCCGAGCCCGCACAGCCGCCGCCGCCACTACAGCCGCCATGGTTCCCGGAGCCTCTACTCCCCGTGCCTCCCCTAGCAGACCTGCAGCTGCCAGACTTCGCCCTTCATCCTGCCGCGCCTCTTCATTGGTGGAGAGGACCATTCTCCTCGGCCAATCACACGCCCCAACTCCTGACTCCACCCCCCATGTCCGGCTTTGGGCACAGGCGATTGGTCAGAAGTGAAAGCGCTCTCTCCCCTCTCCCACTTCAGCCAATCCTGTTGGCAGAGGTCGGGGAGACGCCCCTCACTGGGGTGCTCTTACCTTCTGCACGCCGGGAAGACGCCCCTTCACAGGGAGCCCTGATTGGCCACAGGGACTGCCGCGGCCCCGCCCCCTCGCGGAGGAAGTAAATAAAGCCTTCCTAGAATTTGCAGGTGCCCCACCCCCTCCAGGGAGCGAGGGGGCGTGGCCAGTAGGGGCGGGGTTAGGCAAATATTTCCCTATATGGGGCCAGGGGGTGGGGCCTGGGAGCGGGGGATAGGGTTTCTCCTCGGGGGGCGTGGCTTGTGGGTCCCAGCTTTCCCGCCGACGGTTGGCCGCGTCACGTGACATGGGTTGGAAGATGGCGTCTCCCACAGAGGGTAAGAGCCGGCTTTAGAGATCCTCCGCCTGCTCGCTCCCCCAGCAACTTCCGCTCGCCGTCTGCCGGTCGAACCCGGGCTCCTTTCTCTTTCCCCCTTCCGCTTCTCTTCCTTGGGATGCGGGTGCGTTTTCAGCGCACCGATTCTTTACAGGGGCTCCGGAGGAGCTCAGTTTCCCCGCCGGGTACCCGACGGGTGGAGGGGGCACCCGCGAGAGAGAGAGACCCATCCCGGGCCCCCGCCGCTCCTTCAGCCTCAGCTTCACTGAGGGCGGCGGAGGAGATACAGCTGGGGGAAATGGGGTGCCTCGTTGTAGCTTTCTTCTGGGCCGCCCCAGGCAAGGGCTGGATCTCTCATCTTTGATCGCCAGGAACTGTTCTCGCCACCGTGGCTGGGATTGGTGGCTGGCCTCATCCTCTTTCTCCCCAGACTGGTACCATGGACCTGGCAGCTGGAGGAGCGGGGCACCTGCCCGGCCCCTCGCCCAGCGAGTCCCCAGGAAAAGGAGAAAAAGCTTTTTAGTATAGCTTTGTACACAACTCAGCAGCCTCTCTCGCTTCCGCTGTATGTTTCCTCAGGCTGAGCGGACGATGTCTCCTTGTATATTGTTTAAGGTGCAAGCCATCTCAGCAGCTGGGTTATGTTGGTATGCCCTTGTGCTTTTGCGCTCGGTCCTGCTTTGGAGAGCTAGGGGCTTGCAGTCATCTCTGCACGCAATTTTTGCTTCTGCCCACGTCCATTTCACGGATAGGTAGAGGACCCCTCCTCAAACCAACACATTTTGTGTTTGGAAAGAATCTTGGCAGTTCATCTCAGGAATGAGGAAATTGAGGCCAAGAGCTCTATACAGACTACACGTGTAGGGCATAATGCTAGGCGCTTTGGGAGAGGAAAAGATTAACCAGACACGTAAATTCTTGCAGTTTCAGCTCTTATTTCAGATGTCACCTCCCAGAGAGGCTTTCCCAGAGCATAGCATCCGGATACGCCCCTCTTCACCATCGCTCACTATCTCAGTGCCTTCACTGTCAGCAAAGTTATTCTGTTCACTTTGCCGCTTTCACACAGGACTATACATTCTAGCTCTGTCTTGTTCGTAGTTGAAAGAATGTTACTTTGGCTGAAGTTTCAAGTTAAACTGAGACTTAAGTTTTTGAGTGCTGGTAAACTGTGTAAGAAATTATGGGTGTGCATCGCGGCCAGGGTGGCTAAGTGGTTGAGCATCCACCTATGAACCGAGAGGTCACGGTTCGATTCCTGGTCAGGGCATATGCCTGGGTTGTGGGCTGGATCCCCAGTGTGGGACATGCAAGAGGCAGTCAATGATTCTCATCATTGATGTTTCTATCTCTCCCTTCCTCTCTGAAATCAGTAAAAAAATATATATATTTTTTAAAAAAGAAAAAAAATTATGGGTTCAGAGTCAACAGATTCCTTCCCTTGCCTGGGTACCCTCTGGGTAAAATGTTCTTCTCTTGCCAGGAAAAGAAATGAGTGGGGGTGACATTTAAATAGTTATCCAAGCGAACAGGAATGGACAGTAAGTTTCAGTTTGAGAAGGTGAAAAAGTTCTGGAGATGGATTGTGATAATGGTTGCACAACTTTGTGAATGTACTTAATGCCACTGAACTGTACACTTACAAATGGTTAAAATGGTAAATTTCATTATGTATATTTTACCACAGTTTTTAAAAAAGCCAAGTGATAGAAGAAGTAATTTCTGTTAAAATTTTAGTTTATTATGAGGTTATTTTTTAGATTTCTAAGTTTTGGGGGTTTTTGAGCTGTATTCCTTGTATTTGATTTTGCCCAGTCTTCTCTCATTTCCCTTCCCCCCCCACCTTTCTTTAACCAGGAAGAGTATTGGAAACATTATGTATTTCTTCCTTTGATCTTCTAGCCATCTCCATTGCTACTCTTTGCACTCTTATTTGTAAAAGTTTTCAGTTTCATCTTTTACAAAGTTTCACTTCTCCACCTAATCTTTTTATTTTATTTTATTTTTTATTTTTTATTATTTTTTAATCTTTTTTTTTTAATCTGACAAAATCAAGTGGAGCACTTTGAACTTAAATTCAGTTTCTAAATAAGCATATAATCCTAAAATATCCCATTGCCTAGCTCTTTCACTTCTATTTTTAATGTTCTATCTGTTCTTGTCTTTAAAATTTAATTCAAATAATGTTGATTTGAAAAAGATTAGGTCATTTACTCATTTTTCTTTTTTTATTTGAGTGATTTCAGAGAGGGCAGGATGGAAAAAAGTGAGAGTGAGAGAGAGAAAAACATTGATTTGTTGTTCCACTTATTTATGTATTCATTTGTTGAATCTTATACGTTCCCTGGCTGGAGATTGAAACCTTGGCATCTCTGGACATTACTCTAACGAACTGAGATACCCAGTTAGGACCTCATTTGTCTTTTTAATGCTAAATTTGCTGGGACTTTTTTTGAAAAGGAGAAAGCTGAAATCAAGTAAGGCCATCTAATTACTTAATATATGAGAGTAAACCTCACAGCAGATGCTGAGTTATGCCCACAAGTGTGGTTTTCAACTTTCTTTAAGTTGAAGAGTGCCATGAACTAATTGACTTTTAAAAAATTAGTTCTGGCTGCTTTGTGGAGAATAGATTTGGGGGTAGGAAGGAGAAGTTAAGAATGGGAAAAGGGACATCTGTTAAGAGGGTATTGAAGTTGTTCGGGAGAGAAATCATGGTTTCTTGGTTAATTAATTTGGTTTTCGGGTGTATCGATATTTTGGAGATAGTAACTAGTAGATTTACTAATGGTTGGTTATAAAAGGGCTAAGGAAAGAGAGGCATAAAGAATGGATGGCATCTGTGTTTTTGAGAACTGGGTTTTGTGGTAGTGATATTTCTTGAGTGCTATTTACAGTTTTGAACTTATTAGAATTAAGGGATTTTTCACATGTGTCAATGGAGAGAGATATCAAATATTAGTTAGATACATAACTGAAGTTCAGGGAAAGACTGGGACTGGAAATATAAATATGGAGTCTTTGGCACGGTAAAAGCTATTGGACTAGATGAGATCTTCTCATGAGATTTTAGGTGTGGAGAGTGAAGCCAGTTTAGGATGGGGCCTCAGTGAGAGAGAAGACTGAGGAAAAGGGGTCAGCAAGGAAGGAGAAGAACCAGCATAGTGGTATAGCATAGAAGCTGGAGGTCAAGTGTTTCAAGGAGAGTGGTCAGTGTGTGAAAGCTGCAAGGAGGTCACAAAGAAGAGAACTGAGAAGTGACCCCTGGATTTAGCAACAGAGGTCAAAGATAACCTTGACAACAACAGTTTCCGTGCATATAGGGACAGGCGCCTGATTATCATGGGTTAAGGAGAGAATAGAGACAGCAAGACAGACAACTCAAGAACTTTTGAGAGGAGGAGTGAAGAGCTTTATCAAAGAAGGGAAATTCTAGGGCAGGCTTGCTTGCTGTTGAGTATGAAGCAGTAGAGATGGTAGAAACTGATTGTGCAAGAAAGATATTATTACTCATGATATCTTTGACAGAGCAAGAGAAGATGGAATTCAGAACCCTAGCAGAGGAGTTTGTCTTGAGAGCAGGGACACTTGTAACTGGAGGAAAGTCAGAGTATGAGTGAAGGTGCAGGTGGGCTTGCTGATACTCATTTTTTCTGACACCCCACTAAAACATTAGATGTCAGAAAAGTGAGGGAAAATGATTCATTTTTACAACATTTAATTGCAGTTATAGAACTCAGTATCTAGACTTCCAGGTGAATGTTCTAGTACACATGTGTCAAACACAAGGCCCGCGGGCCAAATCCATCCCGCCAGGCCTTGCAATGTGGCCCGCACCGGGCTGTCATCACTGCACTCCGCTGCGTTTCCATCACAATGACAGTTTATGACTGTTCAGTAAACCATTCGGCCCGCGATTTAGGCTGGATTTTAGATTTTGGCCCCTTCTCTGATTGAGTTCAACACCCCTACCTAGTATGTTATGTTCTTTAAGACTGAAATGTTTTAAAATGTAAACAAACATGTTTTGTGTCTTCTTGGCTCATCTGGGTATTTTGTTCTAGGTACAGATCTGGAAGCATCTTTATTAAGTTTTGAAAAACTTGATCGTGCCTCACCAGATCTTTGGCCAGAACAATGTAAGTTTTTGGTTTCTTTATATCAGAATCAATGCAGGAGAACCAGTGCTACATTGAAGGATATTTTTAAGGAGGTATCATTTAACAGTAATAGTTAAAATTTTAATTTTACTTCAAAGGTAAGAGAATGAATTCTGTGGTCCAGTGTTCAGAATAGCTGTTTACTTTTTTCAGGACACACTGTAACTTAGGAAATGATGGGGAGCCTTTAAAAAATAAGCATTTAAAAATATCTGTAATAAGTTCAGACAATATATATATAGATACTTAATGTATTTCCTCACCTCCTTTGATAACTTAAAAAAATCACAAATAGTAGTTTGATACAATCCTTTTGACCTTTTTTATACTTATTTAAATAAGCAAATAAATATATATTTTTAAGTATATAGAGGGTTTTTTTTGTGTGTGTATTTTTTGAGGAGGGTATAACGTGGGGTCATATGTACATGGTCTGCAGCTTAACTTATTCCAGCTAGTAGTAGTAGTGTATTAATGGATCCTTCCATGTTAGTAGGTTTAAAGTTACTTAATTGTTATAAAATATTGCATTGTATAAATATACTCTAGTTTATGTTTTCAACCCTATTTGGAAACCTAAATTATATCCAACTTTTGATATTACAAATAATTTAATGATAATGAATATCCTTGCACAAGTAGCTTTGTGCACATAGGAAGGATGACTGTGTATGAGAGTGCCCATTTACTCACATGCTAGCTGATATTGAATGTTACTGATCTTTATTTTTAATTTGTATTTCTCTAAGTGAGATTGAACATTTTATTTTTACATATCTGGTTTTTTATGTGACTCTTCCTATGAGACATTTAAATAAACAATTGGGTTGGCAGAACAGCGTACCTACACAGGAAATTGAAATTTTTATCTGATAAGAGATATTGTGTCTTGCCACCCTCCCACTTAGCTAACTCCTAATCCTTCAAAGTTTAATTGAGGAAGCTTTTCCTGCACCCTCACCCTCAGTCTGATTTAGATTTCTTTCTTTCTTTCTCTTTTTTTTTTTTTTGTGGTAATGATGGGGGTGGGAGTCTTGGAGAACTTAAGCAGTATTACAGTTATTGATTTACTCTCTCTTTCCTCTTCCAGACAGTAGCTCTTTGAAGACAGGCTGTGTTTTTTTTGTTTTTTGAATCTTCTATGTCTGGGACACTAAAATTGAATAAATAATGTTGTATCTTTTCTTTTTAGTACCAGGTGTTGCTGAATTTGCAGCTTCTTTCAAAAGTGTAAGTAATATTTTAACTACCTAATGAAGTTTATACCATGGTTTGCTCCTTGGTAACAGCTCAAATACCTCTTGTTTCTTTGTTTCCAAAAATAATGTCATAATCTTTAAATCACTTTGTAACGACAACCCTGGAAATCTGTTTATATTATTATCATGTTAAGTGATGATAATGCCTTCCTCTGTCCAAATGCTCTATTTTGGCATTTTGACCTTTGTCTATTAGCCTTTTTTCTTAGCTTGAAAGCTTTTAACGAAAAGCAGTTGAAATAATTACTGTAATGCCAGCATTCTTTTTGCCCAAACTATGATTTAATAAAAAAATAAAAAAAATTAGTTTATTGATTTCAGAGAAGGCAGAGGGAAAGAGAGATAGAAACATCAATGATGGGAGAGAATCATTGATAGGCTGCCTCCTGCAGCCCCCTACAGGGAATCGAGCCCGAAAACAGGCAGGTGTCCTTAACTGGTATTGAACCTGGGACCCTTCAATCCGCAGGCCAATTGATGCTTTATCCATTGAGCCAAACCAGCTAGGGCCCCAAACTATGATCTCGAAGCTTTTTTATTTATTTATTTATTTTTATGTGATGCATTATGACCTTAACTTACCGTATTTTTCGGACCATAAGACGCTCCGGACCATGAGACGCACCAGTTTTTAGAGAAGGGAAATGAAGAAAAAAAGATTCTGAAACAAATAGTGTCCTAAAATATTTTATGTGCATTAAGACCCAACATCACAGTCATAAACACATGCAATCAACCCTGTAAAGTAAATAGCAGCATATAGAACCATTTTAGAACCGGGCAAGCACACAGAGACCACACAGAGCTGGGCAAGTAAAAAAACTTTTTTTTTTTAAGTATATGTGTAGGCTATATTTGGACCATAAGACGCAGGGACTTTCCCCCCCCACTTCTGGGGGGAAAAAAGTGCGTCTTATGGTCCGAAAAATACGGTATATACCTTCTTAGAGGATTTCTGAAATGTCTCAGTTTCTCATCAGAAACCTAAGGAAGAAATCCATTAAGCCACAACTTTTCTATTTGCAGAGCAATAGGAATTGTGCTAGATGCTGTACACATTCTCTTCTATATTCTCACAACTAGGAGAATATGATGATTATAATATTAGCTACCACTTATTTACCGTGTGCCAGGCACTGTTCTAAGCACTCTACCTATATTACTTAACCCTCACAAAACTATGAGGCATTTTACAGAACTGGATATAGGCACACAGAGAGTAAGTAGGTTACCCAAGGATATAGGCTATATGTGCCAGAATCAGGCTTTGAACCCATTAGTCTGATTACTGGCATCCACACTCTTATTTTGCTTTTTTTTGTTTTGCTTTGTTAATCCTCACCAGAGGATATTTTCCATTGGTTTTGAAAGACAGGGAGAGAGAAACATCTATCAGTTGCCTCCTGCATATACCCCAACTAGGGATCAAACCCACAACCTGGGTATGTGCCCTGACCAGTTATCGAACTGGAGACCTTTTGGTGCAGATGATGCTCAACCAACTGAGCCACACTGGCCAGGGCCTGAATCTATTTCTTAACTATCTGTGGCCTCAGCAATTAAAAATTTTGAGCCTTACTTTTCTCATTTGAAACTACCTCTTAGGATTCTTAATGCCATAATGCAAGTTAAAACACTTTGCAAAGTACCTGGGACATAATAAACAATACACGGTAGCTATTATTACTAGATCTGCTTTTGTCTCGTGGATGGAGTAGAAAGTATCTGATTTAATTTTCTTACATTCTCATTCATTCCGACTTTTCAGTTTAGGTCATTGTATCTGGTAACAACTAAGTCTTTTGAGTCATAAATATAAATGAGTGATTTTTAAATAACTTTTATTGCAGTATGGTATTTTTTGAAAATCTGATTAAGAATCTATATATTTTCCCTAGAAGTATGGACATACCTATTGAGTTTTGTTTCTAGGGAACCAAGGTCATCCCAGGATCCCAGGTTAAGATCTCCCTGTATAATCTGTTTCCAGAAATGGTGAATTTGACTTATAATAGGCTTCTAGGGAAAGTGGTATAGAGTAGTGGTTTCTGAACTCATACTGCATGGATTTTGAGTCCCGGGTCCACTAGCTGGGTGATCTGAGGCAAGTGATTTATAATCTTCCTGTACATTTGTAAAATGAGGATAATAATACTTACTTCATAGGGTTGATTTGGAATTAAATGACATAATGCATGTAAAGTGTTTTGCTTGTTGCATAGTGCTAAGTAAATATCACTTTTTAAAAAAAGAAAAGGGCTTGCCCTAGCTGGTTTGGCTCGATGGATAGAGCCTGTGGACTGAAGGGTTCTGGGTTTGATTCCAGTCAAGGGCACATGCCCGGGTTGCAGGCTTGATCCCCAGTGTAGGGCATGCAGGAGGCAGCCGATCATTGATTTTCTCTCATCTTTGATGTTTCCATCTCTTTTCCTCTCCCTTTCTCTCTGAAATATACTAAATATACTAAATATACCAATGAAATATACTAAAAAGGGGAGGGGGTTTCAAAACTGAAGTAATATTTCTCAACTGTACTCCTACTTATACAACAGAATCATCAATATGTAGCTATGGAGCCTTTAAAAAGTACATATGTAATGTTCCTTGCTCTGTCCTCTCCAAAGGACCCTTCCCCCACCTCTGATATTCTAATCCTTGCATCTAGGGTATGGCCAGGTCATTTGTATTTGTTGTTGTTGTTACATCATAGGGTTGAAAACTGTTACCTAAAGCTATTCTAAATAGTGACTCTTCAAATTTTGTAAGTTCACTTTCAGAAATGAGAAAATAACTTAAAATTCTAAAATTTTCTAAAACACCTTCCATAAAATGAAATTTCAAGTGATGACCATTACAGTGTTCTTGCAAATTGAGAATTTTCTCATTCTTGATTCTTTGAATCTTCTCCTCTGCTAGAAAATGTTACTTACTGATCATTGTTTCAAACATTTCAGTTGGAGGTTTTCACCAGAACTGAATCTCAGGTAATTTCTTTAATTGCTATACTAACCTGTTATGCATGAAACAATGACAATAAGTCACACCTAATTCTTCCGAGATCATTTCTCTGAGACCAACTTTAAGGATGAGCAGTATTATTTTGTAATGTGATTATTTATAGGCTGTATCTGAATCTAGAGAAATCAGGGTTTTAGAAATTATAATTTGCCAGTATTTTCACAAACTGAATGCTATGTGATAAGCTACCTAGAAGAAGGAAGATATGATCTCTTCACACTTGGAACTGAGTGGATATATTCTTATTTTTTGACAGCCTATTACTAGCTCACCACCCAAATGGATGGCTGAAATAGAACGTGATGACTTCGACATGTTGAAAGGTAAGCTATGCTGGTGACTTCTAACTTTTAACTTGATATTTATGCTCTCCCACAGACTACCTTCCTAATTTTTCTCTGACTGTTCCCTTGAAAGTATTCTTAGCTCACTCGAACTGCCTACCTACCTATCCTTATTAATAATTCTTCATGTCTAAAAGCCTTTCTTAACTTTTCCATGTGTAGCAATCCTTCTAATTTAAGACCTGCTCATAATGATTTTATCTGCTGGTAAAGTCCTTTAATATGCTTTTGTATAATGCTTACAGTTAACAAAAAGCTCTCGCAGAAATTTTCTCATTTCTCATAAAGGCCCTGTGAGATAGGTATGATGATATCTAAGGTTCAAAGGGTTAACTTAACCAAGATTTGTTAGAATGAAAAAATTTAAACTCTTATTTTAAGTCTTGTCTCTTACCACTATAAACAAGTGCTTATTTAGGATTTACTGCTATATGTTGTTGTCAGTAATATTAATTGACAATCCCTTCATAGATAAGACCTGTCTTATTTTATCCTTTTCAATCAATTACTCCAATAAAGAATACTATAAGTAGTGATTATTGTTGTTTGATAAATGACTTGGAACTGAACCACAAGTGGAAATTTAAATTAAAAGACATTAATTTTCCTTGATTTTTTGCTCTACTTTATTTATTTATTTTTTAATCATCCTCTGATGATAAGATTCATGATGATTGTGAAGTAATAGACTGAAATGAAGGTAAAAATTGGATGCTTGAGCTATTTAAGCAGCTGAACAGATCAAGAAAGTCTACTGCTTATACCAGATATTGATGATAGGTGGGAGAAAAAAACACCTTTATTTGATTTCAAAGGTAATTCATTGTTCTGCATGAAATGCTTAACTGCAGGTTCCCCTCCTCCAGCCCTGGAAGTATTAAGTCTCAAGGGCATTTCAGGTTCATTGTTCTAATGTTCCAAACAGACATTTATATGCCATCCATATGCATTTTCTAAGGAAACTTTAAATTTTTAATGAGAGATATAGCATAATGTACCATAAAAATTGACCTGTATCTTAGACCTAAAAGGAAGTTTGTGCTATGTTATTTAAATGAAAATCTGGGAAAGTAAATTGTTTTTTAAGTAGCCTGTCTTTTTACCTGGTAAATTTAAAATTTTTTATATGTATTTGATTTGAAGGGAAAGTTTGGGTTATTTAGTTTTTGTTTTCTAAACTTAGGGAAGTGGGGGAACAGTGTATGTTTTGTCACTTTATTAATTGAAATAATAAGGACTAATAAAAGATAGTGGAGTTAGTGTCCATTTTTCAAGATCTGTCTATAGGCTTTCTCAATGCTATGTGGAGTCACAAGGTTTGATACTTGCATTGTGTATTCATTTTACATGATAGACAAAATGAATGTTGTTAAAGAATCCTTAAGATAAAACATAATTTGCTAACTCCTCATATTGTGTAAGCTCATTTGACCCAATTTTGCATTAGTGGTAAAAATTCGTGTGTGTGTGTGTGTGTGTGTGTGTGTGTTGGGGGGGTGGAGGTGGAAGGAGATGGTTGGAGGAGAAAAGAAATGGGTTTATGTTCTTATTTGATAAAAATTAAAGCTTAAAATTTTGTATTAAGAATAATTTCCATCTCAAATGAGTTGTTATTAGAGAACAGTGGACAGAAAAGATTGAAATAAATTATTTCATTTCAGAACTGGGGAGCCTCACCACAGCTAATTTGATGGAGAAGGTACGAGGCCTACAGAACCTGGCCTATCAGCTGGGACTAGATGAGTGTGAGTACCCAGACCACATTAATTCAGGGTTGCCAGTTGTATATTTCATGAGCTCTAGCTGTAATACAGATGTCTGTATAACATTTTATGAAGGTAAGATATTATTATAATCTAAAATGTGCCTTTTATGATAGAGTATGCTGAAATAATTACTGAGTTTACTAGGTAACATTTTTCTCTGTACAGTACAAATATATTGGAAATTCTTTCAGTTTTAAGTGATAGAATGTCCAATCAAACTAGCGTAAGCAAAAGAAGAACTTTATAAGTTCACATAAATCAAAATTCCAGGAGTTGCAATAGCTTTAAGGATATCTAGATCCATGACTGTTAATGATGTCATTGGGATTTGCTTTTGTTTTATATCTCTAGACTTTGTTTCACTCATGCATTAGTCTTATTCTCTGCTGCTGCATATAGCTTTTTCCTAGAACTGGGACAAGTGGCCAAAATGAGCTCTAATTTATGTCTTTAAATTTTATAGTCCCCAAAGAAAGAACATCTTTTCTGAAAATTCCAAAAGAAAGGTCCTGGGAGGATTCTGACTGTTCCATCTTGGCTCACATACCTAACCTGCAACCAGTCCTTTTGCCAGGTAGCATGGAGCACTGATCAATCGGGCCTGTGTCCTAGGTGCAGACCCAGATGGAAAGGTTTACTCTAACTCAAATTATACAGAATGGGAGAGAACAATTGATTCCTCAAAGGATGGGATAGATAGCAGACCAAAAACATAATCTGTACCTTGAGCATGGTTTTAAAAGATCTCACTTGCCCAGCCAGTGTTGCTCAGTGGTTGAGCATTGATGTATGAACTGTTCGTCATGGTTTGATTCCCATCAGGGCACATGCTAGGTTGCAGGCTTGATTCCTATTAGGGTTGTGCAGCAAGCAGCTGATCATTGATTCTCATCATTGATGATATCACTCTCCCTCTCCCTTCCTCTCTGAAATCAGTAAAATACATTTTAAAAAAAGATCTTACTTATTTCTATCTGTTCTGCATTATTTTAGTTTAAAATTATTTTTTTATTAGAGGCCTGGTGCACGAATTCATACACGGGTGGGGGTCCTCGGCCTGGCCGGTGATCCGGCTGATAGGGACCTAAAGGGGCCATGGCAGGTTGGCTATGGGAGTTCACTGACCACCAGGAGGCAGCTCTTGCATTGAGAGTCTGCCCCCTGGTGGTCAGTGCCCATCATAGTGACCAATCATTCAGTCACTTAGGCTTTTATATAAGTAGATAGATAAATTATATCTCTTCCTATACTGTATTCATTTTAAAATTAGAAAAGGAATTGTAGGAAATTTTCACTTTGTAATTGAAAGAGATATTCAACATATACAGTGGTTAGAACTTTGTTCTCAGTAGGTACCTCTTGAGACCTTCATAAATCCATAGTTCTGAGAGGCTATTATAGCTTATAATTTTTTTCAAAAATGCAAGTTTTGTACTGATTAGAGGATGGATTAGAGCAACCCTAAAATGTTTCATAAATTATTTTTCTTGTTTATAGAGCATACAGTGGGTTTTTATGCATCATTTATTTAAGTTACTTCCAAATTCAACACTTACCGTATTTTTCGGACCATGAGACGCTCCGGACCATAAGACGCACCAGTTTTTAGAGAAGGGAAATGAAGAAAAAAAGATTCTGAAACAAATAGTGTCCTAAAATATTTTATGTGCATTAAAACCCAACATCACAGTCATAAACACATGTAATCAACCCTGTAAAGTAAACAGCAGCATTTAGAACCATTTTAGAGCCGGGCAAGCACACAGAGACCACACAGAGCCGGGCAAGTAAAAAAACTTTGTTTTTAAAGTATATGTGTAGGCTATATTTGGACCATAAGACGCAGGGACTTTTTCCCCCCACTTCTGGGGGAAAAAAAGTGCGTCTTATGGTCCGAAAAATATGGTAACTATAAATTTTAATTTAGAGCCTATGGTTTTTGACTGATAAGTCATCACTTCTTAGCCTTCTTTATCTTTTCTTTGTTTCCATTACTGTGATTAATTAATTAATTAATTAATTATTTTTTTTTTTTACCAAGAAAACATTTTTGAATCACTTTGTGAATCAAGAAGCAGAGAACAACAAACTGCTTTGAGATATGGTTGCTAGGTACTCGCTAGGTTCACTCATTGTGACCTAACTCCTCTATGCACTGTGTATTTCTTGTGGTTGAAGTTTATGTCTTGGTAAAATTACTAATTACCAGATATGTCATAGACCTCCAGGGTTTATAATGAAAAAGCAAATCGTTGATTATTAAATTCATGAATGCAAGGCTTGTATAGCATAGAAATTGATTCTCTTTCTAGCTTTGGATAATAAATGCTGTAATAATAATAATGATCAATCCTTTATCTCTCCATGTCAATTTTTTTATAAAATAAATTTTATGCTCAGTGTATCAAGAAGATGCTATGTCATCGAATATATTGATTAATAATGTTATCTTTAGTTAGTTATAGTTGAAATTGCTATATTTTTTCTGCTTTCCTACTGAGAAAGATAATGAAGTGAGTTTGTGTGTGGGTTTTTTCACTACTTTTAATTATAGAAAGTTTTAAACATATACCAAGGTAGAGAGACTAAAATAATGACCTCATGTACTCATATCTGGGTTTAATAGTCAACATGGGCAATCTGTTTTACTTATTATCAACCTCCCATGATTCTTTTAAAGCAATTCTCAGGCATCAGATTACCTCATTGTCAAATAACTTCACATGTGATTTCAAAAGACAAGAATCTTCCCTCTCCTTCCCTCCCTTTCTTTCTGTCTTTCTTTAATGTAATTGCAATTATGCCTAAATTTTTTTTTTTAGCAAACTTGCTTAATATCATCAAATACCCAATTAAGATTCAGATTTCCCTGGTTGGCCCATAATTGCTTTTATACAGTTAGTGTGTTTAAATTGGTATCTAAGTTCATATACCATATTGGTGGCTATGTCTCTTAAGTCTCTTATTTATTCATTTATTTTTAAAATAGTTTTTATTGATTTCAGAGAGAGGAAGGGAAATGAAGAGAGAGATAGAAACATCAATGATGAGAGAGAATCATTGATTGGCTGCTTCCTAAATGCCTTACATTGGGGATTGAGCCTGCAACCTTGTCATGTGCCCTGACCTCCTAGTTCATAGGTTAGTGCTCAACCACTGAGCCATGCCAGCGGGTTCTTTTATTTATTTATTACTATTTTAAAATACGTTTTTATTGATTTTAGAGAGAGGAAGGGAGAGGGGGATAGAAACAGCAGTGATGAGAGAGAATCATCAATTATCTGCCTCCTGCACACCCCCTACTTGTTTGTGATTGAGCCCACAACCTGGAAATCAAACTGTGACCTCCTGGTTCATAGGTCAACATTCAACCATTGAGCCCCAGCAGCCAGGCTTAAGTCTCTTTTATTCTGTCATAGTTCCTCCTCCCTTTTATTTTCCCTTGCCACTTATTAAACCTAGTTATTTGCTCAGTAGCATTTTCCATATTCTAGATTTTGTTGCTTACCATCCTTACGGTAGTGCATAGATAGATACAGGCTTGATTTTTATTTTGGCAAGAATATTTCATAAGTATTGTATACATTTATCAGAAGGTATATAAATGTCTGTCTCTTTGTTTGTTAATGATATTGTTAGCCTAATTTATTATTCATTGTGAAATTTGCCATCAGCATTGCATCAGAGTTTTAGCAACCTTTGATAGCTGCCTAAGTCCATTATTTTATTATAGGTTTCAAAATGGTAATATTATAATTCTGTCATTCCATTTTATTAGCTAGAATTTTCCTATGATGGTCTTTATCTTAGTAGCTATTTATTATTACCTTGAAAGCTATTTTTACTGAATAAATTATTCTTTCTCTGTATCAGTTTTTAGAGTGAATCAGTTCCCTAAACATCAATAAAGTCTATTTTAATGGCTTTCCACTGAATCAGAAACTTGGTATGATTTGTTCTAGTTTTAGTTTTTAATTCACAGAGTTAAAATTATTATTACTGTTAATGGTATTTCTAAAACTTAAGGCTTTGTAGGTGGGGAGATTTAAAGTCAACTAATCAGCCACCTTATGTACTGAATCAACACTATGCAACAGAAATGCTCATTTCTACCAGATAAGTCCCATGAGCACAGCTGAGATTTTTCAAAATTATTTTCTAGTTCAAAATTTAATCTCATTTAAACTTCTGTAGCAGTGGTTTGTCATTTGCTTTGACTATAAGGAATTAGTTGATATATTTAGAATATAGATTTTATATTTAGACTTGGAAAGAATTACATTGATATGGATCAGACTTCTTGGGTATAGACTCTCTTTATTTTATTGTGTATAGTGTATTTGCATAAAAAAAAGATCTTTTTTTTTTTTTTGTCCTTATAGATTATTCATCTACTCTAGAGGTTGACATTTACTTGATGCCCTAATCTGGTATTTTGATGTCTCAATCCTCTTTTCAACATTAATTGAGAGGATGACATGGATGAAAAATAAGCAATAGGAACTGATGAATCCCCCAGGACCAGTTATCCTGTTTTCATGCAAATATCTGCACTGATAAAGATGATGGAAAGAAAAAAGATGCAAAAAATATTTGTCCTTAAAACATGATTGTTTGTCACTTCTCTAGAGCATTGTTAAATGTTAGTATAGAAATAATGTGAACCTTCTTGGGCTGATAATAACTAGATTGTGCCTTTTGAAAGGAAAACCCTGCCCTTTGATTTGGTGCATGATTATGGCTCATAACCCTTTTGGTGTGCAAATTTGGGAATGCGATAATTTTTTGTATAGGGGCCTCTTGGCTTGATTTGGGCAGTTAATTTATATGAAATTCTCATGATATATAAAGAAATACAAAAAATTGTAAACTTTACCGTTTAAAGAATTCCATTTCTGTTACTTTCATCTGAGTTCAGTGTCCTTTCTGTTTTGTAATGGAACTACTGTGGTCACTTCTAATTGGTCTGCCTGCCTCTT